CCGCTCCAGTTTGGCGAGATTGAAGATCGCTTGGTGCAGTACATCAAGCTGCGCGAGCGCAAGTACCTGGTGGATGGCCTCGGGCTCTCATGGAAGCTTGTGCAAGAGAAAGCCCTCAAGTTTGCTGCAGACATGAAAGCAACGCATCCAGACAAGGCAGCAACACTTGACAACTTTTGCGCAAGCCCTGGCTGGTTTCAGGGCGTGCGCAAGCGACACAACATCAAGAGCGTGCGACTACATGGAGAGGCTGGCAGTGTTGACGAAGAGACAGCAGCAACGGCAATGGCAGAGTTCAAGCAAGCAGTTGCTGCTACGAGCATCACCAACCCCCAATTCGTCTTCAACGCAGATGAAACTGGTCTCTTCTACCAGACGTTACCTTCAAGACTCTACGTGTCTCGATCGGAGCGCAGTGTTCGCGGAGTGAAGCAGATGGCGGCAAAAGCACGGCTGACGATCATGACGGCAACATCAGCAGCGGGGGAGAAAGTGCCACTCTTCTCTGTCGGAAAGAGCCGGAGACCTATGTGCCTTCGTGACGACTTCCCACCAGTGCGGTACACGTCTCAAGCATCAGCCTGGTTCGACACTGACATGGCCAATTACTACGTGCGTTTCTTTCTCAAGTGGAAGCGTTCACGCTATGGAGACGAGCCTGTTGTTCTCATCTGGGACAATTGCCCGGCACACAAAAACGTCACCAACCCTGCGCCGAAGGAGCTGCACCTGTTGTTCTTGCCCCCAAACCTAACGTCAAAACACCAGCCCATGGATATGGGCTTGATATCGGCCGTGAAAATGCGATACAAGGCATACGTGCTGCAGCAGCTCCTCGCATACTACGACGACGGGCAGCAGACACCACTACCGAAGAGCCGTGGCTTGCGTGGTCTTGCCCATGGAGCGCCACCAAACATTCGAGACGCGTTGACGATCTTGAAACGAGTGTGGGATGAGGTCAAGCCTGAGTCAGTGGTGCGGTGCTGGATGAAGGCAGCTTGCCTACCCGAAAGCTTTTTCCCACAGCAGCATACACAGCAACAGCAGCGAGTGACTTCGGATGAGATGCTGACAGAACGGAGCAGTGAAGAGGAAGGGCAGGAAGGGGAGGGCGGACAGCTGGTACAAGATGGGCTCGGAGCGGAGAATGAACAGTACGATGAGGCGGAACAGAGAAGGACGGAAGAGCAGGAGGCGATTGATGAAATAAGTCACCTCGCTCAATCACTGCAAGCCAGAGTTTCAATTGCAACTGATGCGCGTGTTGAGGTTGTTGCGGAGGGAACGGAGGAGTGGGCGACGTCAGATGATGACCCTGATATCGTGAATGCAATGATTGATTTGGAGCTTGAGCGCATAGAAAGCAACAGCAGCACAACCACCACAAGCAGCGACGACGACGGGAGTGACTCTGACCAAGACGAAGCGACACCGACCGCACCGACACGTGCGGAAGTTTACAATGCCCTGACAGTTCTCAACAGACTGTGTGAATCCTCTGCATCTCTCCGTCCCACATGTACACTTGTGTCTCGTGTTCGCAGCGACGTTGATGCCTTCTTTATGTCCAAGACGCAAAAGCAACCCACACTGCACTCATTCTTTGGTCCACACACACAATAAACACGCTCATTCCACACCGGCAACTTTCTCTACATTGGAAACTTTTGGGCTTGCCACACCTAGTTGCCAATATAGAGAACTGCCTGTAATCCAAAAGTGTACGGCCCCTCTCCAGCTGCTGCCCCGCGTAGATGAACCGCTGGTCGTCAGCGGGAGGGCCCCCGCGTGCCTCGTACATGTGGGAGAGCTCCTCAATGGTCGTCTTGGGTGTTGCGGGCATTGTCAGAGTCTTTCCCGTGAGCGTCTTCAGGAACACGCATGTGAACCCCCGCGCTGGCTTCCTTCGTCGCTGCTCCTGCTCCGTCCTTGCGTCAGGGTTGTCGTCGAACATGGATGGCATGCCGAAATGCTTGATGTGCTGCACAAAGTAGTTGTGGCGCCGCTTCTCCTTCTCCTCACTCGTCAGCGTGTATGTGTTGCTGATGCGGTGGTGCACCATGCGCCCAGCAAGGCGGCGGCACGCGCGCTTGTACAACGCCGTCTCCAGGATGCAGTTGTGCCACAGCGTGTCCAGTGCAAGCGGGGGCGACATCGGCTCGAGGTGGGGCTCTTCCTCCCTCACGCCGCCGTCCTTCGTGAGCGCGTACAGGAACATGAACCGACCCAATTCGCTTAGCATGGCATCGCCGCTCTCGCCCGTCAGCCCAAGCGTGTGGCGTGCGATGGACGCAAAGTAGTGTCTCCCAATACCAGGCGCCAGCCGCTTGCGCGCATCCAAGGTCGCCTGCATGCTGGTGTTCGTCGTGCTCATTATTGGGGGTGGAGAGAAAGGGAGAGAGAGAGGAGAGGAGGGGGTGGGGGCGTTTGGTGTGCTTTGGTTCGATTCAACGTGGCTTGCGTGGATGGGTTGTCGATGAAAATGTGGCAAGCAATGGTAAGGGTGGTAGAGTGTTGTGTCGCAATGGTGGTCGGGATTCGTCTGAGTCACAGAGATGAAAGTGTAACTGAAACAACATGACTGTGCCAAAATTTCAAATGGGCGGAAGCGAACGGAAGTGGTTCAAGGGAAAAAGGCCCGTGCACGCAAACGACCAACGAACAAACGGACAGGCAGGCAGACAGACAGACAGACAGGCAGACAGACAGACAGAGAGGCAGGCAGACAGAGAGGCAGACATACAGACACACAGACACAGACACGCACACACGCACGCACGCACGCACGCGCACACATATCATGCTTCCGAGTCAGCAAAGCCCGGGAGGCTAAGGCCAAGGTCGGTTGCGGCCTGTGCGGTCTGACCAAAGAGGGAGATGGTGTCATTCGTCTGCTTGGCTGACGGCGCACCAGCACCCGTCTTTTCGGACGAAAGGTAATCCCGCAGCGCAGGCAGGATGGACGCAGGCGCCTGCGTATGTGTGTGTGTGTGTGTGTGTGTGTGTGTGTGTGTGTGTGTGTGTGTGTGTGTGTGTGTGTGTGTGTGTGTGTGTGTGTGTGTGTGTGTGTGTGTGTGTGTGAATGTGAAGCAGGAAACGAGGCAGTGTCGTGGTGCACCGCCTGTCACGTGTACAGTCAGTTGCATCCCCCTGATTCCAGAGCTCCCACCACCTCCACTTCTCCACCACACACACAGACACACACGTACATCTGCAAGCGGCGGGATTTGCCTGCCGTCGAGAATGTCATATGTCTGA